CAGCCTCAGATGATCTGCCAGCCTTGGCCTCCCAGAGTGCTGGGATTACAGGCGTGAGCCACCAAACCCGGCCCCTTAAAGCGCTTCTGAGACTCTCAAGGCCGTCTTCCCATAGGCATCATGCTTCAGATGTTACACAGCGGACGTTTTCATATAAACTACATTTTTAGACTACAGAGATGCTTCTTCAGGTGGCAGACTACTTCTTTGAACTGTAAGTGATTCATGTGATTTTCTTTTAAATTGTTTTTGTTTTTCGCCTTCAAGCCTTTTTAAGGAAACAATTAACAGCATCAATGTATTTCTTCAAATTGTTTTTTGATCTACAGCCTAGAAGTTCTCAATTTTCTGATTTGTCTTTGTCAATTTCAAGTTGCCATCACCCATGTAATTTTCCCTAAAGACAGGCAGTGTATCACCTTCTATATGGTTTGAGAGATTTTAAAGGTCTCTGTTTATCATTTACAACCTCTTTATGTTTTCAAGTTGTCAAGCTTTTTTTTTCTCCATTTCTCACACTTTTTCTTCCATTTCACTGCTTCTTGGGATAGCACTTTTAGGTTATCATAAAAATGAGTGTTTTCATTCAAACAATCCATGGCTAGTTCTTCTGAGACACTTTAAAGATGTTTTTGGCAGTGGTTACTTGAGATTGAAGGATTTTGATGCATCTTCAAGTGGCTATTGAACCATGAAAAGAAAGTTTAGAGACTTCTTTCTGTACTTTTTTGGAGAAGGTCTACAATATTCACAAGTGACAAGTAAACCTGTCCGTGTATTTACTAAATGCTAAACTTAACATTTGTAACTTCAGAGGACTTGTCTGCACCGGAGATAACTTGAAGGCTTCATTGATTTGTATAATCAGTCTAAATTTTCACTGACTTTAAGCTGAGTAGAAAATCTTTTGGCTAGCTCTTTTTCCCTCCTTAAAGTATGCCTGCTCTTTACTATAAAAATAACCAGAGAAACTATATCAGAATCTTGCGGGGAAATGGATAGAGACTTCAGCCTTGTCTGAAGCATCAGTCACTACCACTGAGGGTTGCACAGGAGGGGGATCCCCAGGTTTGTTAAAACAGTGCTCTCTAACTTTGCTCACCACACAAATAAGAGTACTATTTGTACAGTGAATCTAGGCAAGTGGAAAATGCTAATTGCAATGAGAGGAGACCAGTTATGAGCTCCTGTCACTGTAGTCCTTAACTGCAGGAAGCTTAGGGGATCAAAGTAGTGCCATGCCATTACCCATTCTCGGCCCACAGGTGTGTCAGGGTATAATGGAAGGGCACACTGCAGTAGAGGACTCCTGGGCCCATGCTTATGGGTGAGGCTCATTTTCCTGAGTTCAGGTTTCCTTCAGCAGCAGGGAAGCCTCATCCTATCTAACTGCAAGGGTCTCCCTTTCCTGAAAGCTCCTCTCCTCATTTGTGTTTAGTCAGCCCAAGCTGCTAGAGAACACTGAAGGGTCTCAACAAATATTTAAAGTAACAGCTCTGGATTTCAGTATCAAAACAAAATGGCAATATCTTAATATTTCATGAATTTTCTTCGAGGCCACTTTTTCCTTCAGTGGTGACGTGGTAGAAGTCCTAGCTAAAGCAATCAGACAAGAGAAAGAAAGGGTATCCAAATTAGGAAGAAAGAAGTCAAAATTATTCTTATTTGCTGATGACATGATGTTATAGTTGGAAAAACCTGAAGACTCCACCAAAAAAACTATTCGAAATGATAAATTCAGTAAAGTTAAAGGGTACAAAATCAATATTTAAAAATATAGCTGTGTGTGGGTGGCTCACGCCTGTAATCCCAGCTCTTTGGGAGTCTGAGGTGGCAGGATTATGAGGTCAGGAAATCAAGACCGTCCTGGCCAACATGGTGAAACCTTGTCTCTACTAAAAATACAAAATTATCTGGGCATGGTGGCATGCACCTGTAATCCCAGATACTTGGGAGGCTGAGGCAGGAGAATAGCTTGAACCAGGGAGTCGGAGGTTGCAGTGAGCTGAGATCATGCCACTGCACTCCAGCCTGGCGACAGAGCAAGACTCCATCTCAAAAAACAAAAACAAAAAATCATTTATGTATGTCAACAGGGAACAACCTGAGAAATCAAGAAAGTAATCCCATTTAAAATAGCTGCAAATAAAATACCTAGGAATTAACTAAAGAAGTGAAAGAGCTCTACAATGAAAACTAAAACACTGAAGAAAGAAATCAAAGAGAACACACAAAAAAACAAAGATATTCCATGTTTATGGATTGAAAGAATCAATATTGTTAAAATGTCCATGCTACCCAAAGCAATCTGCAGATTCAGTGCAATCCCTATCAAAATAACAATGACATTCTTCATAGAAATAGAAAAAAAAATCCTAAAATATATATTGACTCACAAAGACCCGGAATAGCCAAAGACCTAGAATAGCCCACAGAAGACCTAGAGGCTGGATATAGTGGCTCATGCCTGTAATCCCAGAACTTTGGGAGGCCAAGGTGGGCAGATCACTTGAGGTCAGGAGGTTGAGACCTGTCTGACCAACATGGTGAAACCCCATGTCTACTAAAAATACAAAAATGAGCTGGGCATGGGGGTGCACTTCCGTAATCCCAATTACTTGGGGGGTTGAGGCACAAGACTAGCTTGAACCTGGGAAGCATAGGTTGCAGTGAGCTGAGAATGTGCCACTGCACTCCACTTGGGCAACAGAGAAAGACTGTCTCAAAAAAAAAAAAAAAAAAAAGAACAAAACTGGAAAGATCACATTACCTGACTTCAAATTATATTACAGAGTTATAGTAACCAAAACATCATGGTACTGGCATTAAAAAAATAAATAAATAAAAAGACACATAGACCAATGAAACAAAATAGAGAACTCAGAAACAAATCCACGTATTACAGTGAACTAATTTTCCACAAAGATGTCAAGAACATACATTGGGAAAAGGACAATCTCTTCAAAAAAATGGTGCTGGAAAAACTGGATACCTATATGCAGAAGAATGAAGAATGAAACAAGACCCTTATCTCTTGCCATATACAAAAATCAAGTAAAAATGGATTAAAGACTTAAATCTAAGACCTCGAATTATTAAACTGCTAAAAGAAAACATTGGAGAAACTCTCCAGGAGATTGGAGTGGGCAAAGATTTCTTGAGTAATGCTCCACAAAGCACAGGCATCCAAAGCCAAAATGGACAAATAGGATCACATAAGAAGCTTCTGCACAGCAAAGGAAACAATCAACAAAGTGAAGAGACAACCCATGGAGTGGGAGAAAATATCTGCAAGCTACCCATCTGAGAAGGGGTTAATAACCAGAATACATAAGAAGCTCAGTGGTGATATAATGACCCATACTCCTTATATCATGTGACCTTACATCCTTAGCACATGGCTCCCAGGGTTGCCCTGCAGTTGGACTCCAATCCAAGGAGTCATCTTCAGAGGTGTGGCTGCCTCTGTGAAGGAACGAGTATGTCTTTCTGAATCTGGCACCTACTATTCCTTTCAAAAATGTCTCATTTTTCTAATTTCTTTCTGGCAAACTCAGGCCAAATCTCTGTATCCATCACCTGGGAACTGAGGAACTCTGTGAGGAGAGCCTTTTCCACAGAGAAATAAGAGTACCCTCAGTGGGTGACAGTCTGGGGGTGTTGAAGAGGTCTAGGGCTCAAGCCATAGGTTCCTCAGTGTACAGGATTGAGGTTCAGCAGAGACCTCGTGGTGAGGCGAGGAGGTACCCAAATGCCTGATGAAGTTTTTTTTGTTTATAATTCATTTATTTCTTTGAAGTGGGAGAGATGGAAGCTTTATATTAAGTGGTAAGACTTGACAGTATCAGGAAGAGTGGGAAATATTTTAGTATTTTGTAAAATGTTTTTTTCAATGTGTGTAGTGTCTTTATCCTCTGTTTTCTTTTTCTCCTTTGGTGAAATTTTGTGTTTGGTAGAAAATGATGCAGTTATGTTACACTAGTGTTTCAGATGACACAAGATGATTTTAGGTGGTTTACTGATTCACCTTTAATTAACAATGAATCATATAGTGAGAAAGTAATGTCTTTAAAACTCTTGTAAGCCTTCCAATTATGTCAAAGATAGCCCTTAACTTTTCTCTGATCCTTGTTTCCTTGTTAATCTCGCTGCTTGACAAAGAGAGCAGGTCTCAGGTTCACTACTAAATACTAAATGAGTATTTTATTAGGCTAAGAAAATTACTTTCATTATCTTCATTTTTATAGTTATCCTCTACTATGGAAAATGGTACTGGTTTTCCACTTAGGGTGGCAATAGAAATTAAAGCCAAAAAATTTAAATTAGCTGTTTGAAAGAGCAATATTAGATAAATAATATTCTCCGTGATATGTTGATGTGGCCATAGGAAAACAAATTGCTATGTTGCTATGCAAATAATGATACCATTCCAGAATCTCTGATTCTTTATGATTTCTTCTGCATGTTCTTATGTGAGGGGTTTGGGAACCCAAGGGAACTAAGTTGCCACAGGTACATTTAAGGCAATACATAGGCATCAGCCAAACTATACTAGCTTTTACTGCCTTAAATCCTTCTACCAATCTCTGGTTTAATAGAAAATATGTGTCATTAGGGTAGCATTGAGTCTTGAAGTGAAATGTAATTAGACTACATTATATGTCTTACCTAAGATATAGGATCTTTACAGGATATTATTGTAGTATGATAGAATTTTAGAACACAAAGAGACATTGCTGACATGTTCTTGATCAGATAAATGGACCAATCAGCTCTTTGCCTTAAACCTGTAAAAATATCCTTTGTGAGCACTTCATAGTACAGACTCACCTGGAACAATTCTATGTACAGTTCATGTTGATCAAGATTCAAAAACCTTACTAGTTTGTTGTAAGCCAAATTTCAAGTAAAGAGAAATTGAATGGCCCCAGAATACCCACTTGAATTCTATCTCTCAGAAAATAACACCATGGATTTACTAACATTACCTCTGGCACAGATAGTATCATGCATTGCAATATTTATTGATGAAGTTTTCCTAATTGAATGTTTCTCATCATTTCCTCACTTGATTAGTACTGCTAGCTGACTTACTAAAAATTTAACACTGACTTATTATTAGAGATGATATGCATTTTTCCTGTAGCATTCCAAAGGAGAACATTAGATGTCTATATTAAATTCAAGCAAAAATGTGAGGGAAATAATTTCAGCACATCTTAGGTGTCTTGCTGGCTCTTAAGGTGAATAAGGTGGTGGTGACTGTTCTGCAGAGAGTTTCTCATAAGCAGGCGGTGCATTGGGAACCTGTGAGAACAAGAAAGGGAGAATATGGGCTTGGCAACAGTGTATATGTTTCTAGGAAGGGATTACGTTAAAATAGTTACATATTTATACTTTTCCTGTCAATTGAAACTTCTACCTGCTCACATATAATTTCTGCCCAATGAAGTAATTGTTAAATTTCATGAGTATGTATGCTGATTGCTGGGGGCAAGGGTAGAGAAAAATAAGGTTAAGGGGTTCCCAAAATCTGAAAAGCGTGGTTATACCTGGATTTTCCATGGCAGTCTCAAGCCCTAACTCACGAATCATTGAACGCTATTTACAGACATTATATACATTGCATCTTTACTACAGAAATCCTTATAATTGTGTCTAAAGGCACATTGATACACATATAAAACAAGAGGATATAGTATCCAGAACAAATGTGTCAGGGCTTCATTTAATGCTCACAACAATTCTGGGAGTATTTTTATTGTTTTCATGTTACAGAATGGGAAACTGGAGCACAGAGAGGTTAACTCACTTGCCCATGGTTACACAACTAGTAAGTGATGAAGCTAAGAATCAAACACAGTAATTTGGCTCCAGAGTCAGTGCTCTCAACCATTATGTTATGTTGTATATATACTAGTGCTGTCCAATAGAAATATATATAAGCCACATGTTATTTTATTTGATTTTATTATTTTTGAGATGGAGTTTCGCTCTTGTCACCCAGGCTGGAGTGCAGTGGCATTATCTCAGCTCACTGCAATCTCCACCTCCCAGGTTCGAGCCATTCTTCTGCCTCAGCCTCCCAAGTAGCAGCTGGGATTACAGACATGCACCATCACACTCAGCTAATTTTTGCATTTTTAGTAGAGACAGGATTTCATCATGTTTGCCAGGCAGGTCTCAAAACTCCTGAGCTCAGGCAATCCACCTGTCTTGGCCTCCCAAAGTGCTGGGTTTACAGGCATAAACCACCATGCCCAGTCATATGTAATTTAAAAATTTCTAGTAGCTACATTTAAAAAAAGAAATCAGTAAAATTAATCTTAAAATATTTAATCTAGTATTATCAGAATATTTATTTTCAAGATGAATCAATATAAAAATCATTAACAAACTGTTTATCTTATTTTCCACATACTAATGTCTTTGAAATATGGTATGTATTATAATACATCTTAATTGAAACTCCTATGTTTTAAGTGTACAGTAGCACCATGTGACTAATGGCTAAGCCATCAGACAGCACAGCTCTATACAATAAATAATAGGTACTTTATCCTTCCCCTGTGTATATATCTACATCCATTAAAAAGGCAAATATAATTAAAAACATAAAATAATATTGTATCCAGGACTCAGTTCTTCCTTTGGATCTCACATGTAGGGCTCTCATTATTGGCCCTGGAAACTCTGGGTATGCAATGACACAATTTGAGAAAATCTCTTATACTTCCCTGTTTTTTGTTTTTATTGTTTATTTTTATTCCAATAAAATACCCATAAAAGTTGCCATTTTAACCATTTTTAGATGTATATAGTTTAGTGGCAGTGAGCACATTCACATTGTCCTTGCTTTTTAAATGGAAATAATTGTATTCACTTGAGTTAAAAACAGCCATTCATGAAAATACCCTGGTGAAGGATCTCAACCTACCACAGGTTCACAATTTTTCTCTTGAAAAGACAGTTTGCTGTCCTGATGATCATACCCTTCTTGAGGGCATCTTCTTGTTAAGGTGTTTTGAGTGCCAGCATGAAGACTTTTGTCCTGAAATGTAGATTGATAAAGGTGAATGAGTGAGAAGTAAGTGAATCCATTAAAGAAAAGAGGAAGCTGCAGGCCGGGTGCAGTGGCTCAAGCCTGTAATCCCAGCACTTTGGGAGGCCGAGGCAGGTGGATCACGAGGTCAAGAGATCGAGACCATCCTGGTCAACATGGTGAAACCCCGTCTCTACTAACAATACAAAAAATTAGCTGGGCATGGTGGCGCGTGCCTGTAATCCCAGCTACTCAGGAGGCTGAGGCAGGAGAACTGCCTGAACCCAGGAGGCGGAGGTTGCGGTAAGCCGAGATTGCACCATTTTACTCCAGCCTGGGTAACAAGAGCGAAACTCTGTCTCAAAAAAAAAAAAAAAAAAAAAAAAAGAGGAAACCAAGGTTTTAAGAATGAGTTTTAATATAGGTTCTGCAACTCACTTGCCATGTGTTTTCAGTCTCATCACTTTATCTTTCTGAATTCTGAGTTTGCATCTATAATAGAAAGATAATACCACCTACCTCTCAGAACTGTTGTGGGAATTAGCTAAAGATAAAGCACTAGTGCAGTACCTGGCACCCAGTAGTTAGTTAAAGAATATTTCTGAGGGGAAGGACAAGGAGAGTGAATCTATAAAAAGAACACTCTTGTGAAATTATCCATCAATAGTGAAGCAGAAATAAAGACTTTCTCAAACAAGAATTGAGGGAATTTCTTGCCAATAGACCTGCCTTGCAAGAAACATTTAAAGTTCTTTTTTTTTTTTTTTTTTTTTATTGCATTTTAGGTTTTGGGCTACATGTGATGAACATGCAAGATTGTTGCATAGGTACACACTTGGCAGTGTGGTTTGCTGCCTTCCATCCCCTCACCTGTATCTGTCATTTCTCCCCATGCTATCTCTTCCCACCTCCCACATTTAAAGTTCTTTAGAGAAAAAGAAAATAATATAGGTCAGAACTTTGTATCTACATAAAGGAAGAGCATCCAAGAAGGAATAAGTGAAGGTAAAATAAAACCTTTCTTTTTCTTTTTCTTTTTTTTTTTTTTTTTTTTTTTTTTTTTTTTTTTTTTTGAGAGACATGATCTTGCAAAGTTGCCCAGGCTGGTCTTAAACTCCTGGGCTCAAGCACTCCTCTTGCCTCAGCCTCTGAGTAGCTGGGACTACAATCATGTACCACTGTACCCAACGTATTTATCTTATTCTTAGTTGATTTAACAGATAATAGTTTGTTTAAAAATGAATAATACCAATACCAACAATGTATTTGATCATATATGCTTATATACACTTGGAAATGAATAACAGCAATGATACAAGGGAAAGAAATGCTAACAGAAAGAAAAAAACTGCAAAATATTTCAAAGAGGTTTTTTACTCTGTGCCCATATGAATGACCATTGCCCAGAGAACAGTCTCAAGAGTCCTGAGAAAGTGTGCCTGAGGTGGTTGGGTTATGATTTGGTTTCATACATTTCAGGAAGACAGGAATTGTAGGTAAAAATCGTAAATCAATACACGGAAGGTGTACATTGGTTCAGCCTGAAAAGTCAGGACATCTCAAAGCAGAGACTTAAAAGTCACAAGTGGGTTTTAAGGATTCTTTAGCTGGCAATTGATTGAAACAGAGTCTTAAGACTTGAAGTCAGTACAAAGGAATGCTTAAGGGAGTCTGCGACCTGTCACATGATGCTATACCAGAGTTAGTTTGGGAAGTAAATCATATTATACCAGGTTAATTTTAAAAATTTTTTTATGGTTTGAAGGACATGATTTAACCCTTTCCTTGCATTGACTTCAGTCTTATTCCAAATTTTACATTGCCACAAATAATTCATTCTGTCATTCCTATAATCTCTATTTTAAAATTAATGCTGGTCAGTTATACCTAAAACTCAGCTAACAGGGAGGGAGTATAACGAGGCATCTCTACCTCCCTTCTTGTCATGACCAAGACCCAGTTTTTCAGGTTTCCCTGGGCCAAGAGGGGGTTTATTCAATTGATTGGAGGATTTAAGATTGTGTTTTTAGTTTACAGGAGGAAAGAATTAGGATTATTTTGTTATTTTAAGATACTCATAATACATATGAAGTGGTATAGTGTTATTTGAAATTGAGCTTGAATTAGTTGTAAATGTATACTGCAAACCTTGGGAAACCACTGAAAAAAAGTAAAAAAGAAGTATAACTGGGTTGGGCGTGGTTGCTCATGCCTGTAATCCTAGCGCTTTGGGAGGCCAAGCAGGTGGATCACTTGAGGTTAGGAATTTGAGACCAGCCTGGCCAACATGATGAAAAATACTAAAATACTAAAAATACAAAAATTAGCTGAGCACGGTGGTATGCACCTTTAATCTCAGCTACTCAGGAGGCTGAGGCAGGAGAATCATTTGAACCTGGCAGGCAGAGGTTGCAGTGAGCTGAGATCGTGCCACTGCACTCCAGCCTGAGTGACAGAGTGAGTGAGACTCCATCTCAAAAAGAAAAAAGAAGTATAACTGATATGCCAAGAAAGGAGAGAAAATGGAATCATATAAAATGTCCAGTTAAAACCACAAAAGGTAGAAAAAGAGTGGAAGACAAAATTAGAAACAACAAGGGCAACAAGTAGAAAACAGTCATACCGTGGTAGATATTAATCCAACTACATCAATAACTACTTCCAATATCATAGTCTCGATGCACCAATTAAAAGAGATTTTCAGACTGGATCAACAAACAAGACCCAACTATGTGTTCCCTACATGGAAGCCTCTTTAAATTATAAGTACATTAAAAGTAAGTGCATAGAGGCCAGGCACAGTGGCTTACGCCTGTAATCCCAGCACTTTGAGAGGCCGAGGTGGGTAGATTACCTGAGCTCAGAAGTTTAAGACCAGCTTATCCAACATGGTGAAACCCCATCTCTACTAAAAATACAAAAATTAACCAGGCATGGTGGTACATGCCTGTAATCCCAGCTACTTGGGAGATTGAGGCAGGAGAATCACTTGAGCCTGGCAGGCAGAGGTTACAGTGAGCCAAGATCATACCACTGCACTCCAGTCTGGGCAACAGAGTGAGACTCTGTCTCAAAAAAAAAAAAAGAAAAGAAAAGAAAAGAAAAATAGAAGGGAGGGAGGAAGGAAGGAAGGATAAAGAAAAGATATACCATGCTAACACTAATGAAAAGGAAGTAGGACTTCCTATATTAATTTTAGAAGGAGAAATTTTCAAGGAAATTTATCAGAGATAGAGGGATATTACATAATGATAAAGGTCTTCATTGTTCAAGAAGGCATAACAAAACATGCATATACCTAAGAACACAGCATCAAAATACATGAGATAAAACTGATAGAACTGCAAGGAGAAATAGTTACATCCATTATGAAGTTAGAGTTATAGTTGGAGGCTTCAGCATCTCTCTATCAGAAATAGACAAAGCCAGCAGGTAAAAAAAATCAGTAAGGACTAACTCATTCGATGAGGCCAGCATTACTCTAATGTCAAAACAAAAGATATTACAAATATATAAAACTACAATTCATTATATCTCATGAATATAGATGCAAAAAATCTCAACAAAATTCTAGCAAATGAATTCTAACAATGTATAGCCTGTGACAAAGTGGAATTCAACAAAATCTTTGTGTTTTTGTTTGTTTGTTTTGAGATAGAGTTTCACTCTTGTTGCCCAGGCTGAAGTGCAGTGGTGCAATCTCGGCTCACAGCCACCTCTGCCTCCCGGGTTCAAATTATTTTCCTTCCTCAACCTCCCGAATAGCTGGGATTATGTGCCCAGCTAACTTTGTATTTTTAGTAGAGACAGGTTTTCTCCATGTTGGTCAGGCTGGTCTCGAACTCCTCACCTCAGGTGATCCACCTGCCTCTCAAAGTGCTGGGATTACAGGCGTGAGCCACCATGTCAGCCCAAAATCTTAATTAACTAGATGTCATAGACATCTACAGGCTACTTCATCCAACGACAACAGAATACACTTTCTTCTCAAGCTCACATGGAACATTCACCAGGTGGCCCACATTTCTGGGCCACCGAACACATCTTAACAAATTTAAAAGAATAGAAATTATACAACGTTTGTACTCAGACTATAATAGAATTAAACTAGAAATCAGTACAGAAAGATAACTGAAAAATACTCAAACACTTGGAGATTAAACAACACACTTCTATGTAACACATGGGTCAAAGGAGAAATCTCAGGATACATTTAAATATATGTTGAATTAAATGAAATTAAAATATGATGTCAGAATTTGTGAGATACGTACTGCTTAGCAGAACAAGCAATATTTAGAGGGAAATTTATAACATTGAATGTATATATCGGAGAAGAAGAAAGATCTAAAATCAATAATCTAAGCTTTAAGATTAGGAAAATAGAGAACAGCAGATTAAATCTGAAGTAAACAGAAAAATAAAAATTAGAGCAGAAATCAATGAAATGGAAAACAAGAAATCCATTAAATGGTTCATGCCTGTAGTACTAGCACTTCAAGAGGGCAAGGCAGGAAGACTGCTTCAAGCCAGGAGTTTGACACCAACCAGAGCAACATAGTGAGATCCTGTCTCTACAAATTAAAAAAAAAAAAAGAAAATTGTCAAATGTGGTGGCACATGCTATAGTCTTAGCTACTTAGGAGACGGAGACAGGAGGATTGCTTGAGCCCAGGAGTTCAAGGTTACAGTGAGCTATGATTGTGCCACTGTACTCCAGTCTGGGTGACAGAATGAGACCCTGTCTCTAGAAAAAAAAAAAGAAAAGAAAAAATTAATTGAATAAATCAATGAAAGCAAAGCTGATTCTACTAAGAAAAAAGAGAAAGAAGGTATAAACTATTATCAGAAATAATAATGGACATTAAAAGGCAAGGAATACTCTGAACAACTATGTTCACATATTTGAAAACCTAGATAAATGCAACAGTTCCTTGAAAGACATAATCTATCAAAATCTACACGAGAAAAAATAGACCTTCTGAATAGAATTATATCTATTATAAAAATTGAATGAATAATAACTTTCTAAAACAGAAAGCACCAGATCCAGATGAGTTCACTGGTGAGTTCTACCAAACATTTAAGAAAGAAATTATACCAATTCTCTACAACCTCTTTCACAAGATAGAATCAAAGAGAATACTTTGTAACACATTCTATGAGGCCAGCATTACCCTAATACCAGACAAAGACATTGCAAAAAAAGACAACTACAGCCCAATATCTCTCATGAATATAGATGCAAAAAATCTCAACAAAATATTAGCAAATTGAACTAACAATGTTTAAAAGGAATTACACACCATGACAAAGTGGGATTTATCCCAGGTATGCAAACCTGGTTCAATAGTAAGAAATCAGACCAGGTATGGTGGCTCACCACTTGTAATCCCAGCACTTTGGGAGGCTGAGGCAGGTGGATTGCTTGTGCTCAGGAGTTCAAGACCAGCCTGGGCAACATAGTGAAACCCCATCTGTACCAAAAGTACAAAAATATTTTAGCCAGGCATGGTGGCTTGTGCCTGTGGTGCCAGCAACTTGGAAGGGTGAGGTGGGAGGACCACCTGAGCCCGGGGTTGAGGGTTGCAGTAAGCCGAGATCATGCCCCTGCACTCTAGCCTGGGTGACAGAATGAGACCTCATCTCAAAAAAAAAAAAAAAAAAAAAAAAGAAAGAGAAATGAATTATTTTGATACCTCAATAGACTAAAGAAGAAAAATCACAAGATTGTATCAATAGCTGTAGAAAAAGCAGTTGACAAAATCAAACATTCATAACTTAAAACATGTAATAAACTAGGAATAGAGAGAAACTTCCTCAAGTTTGCTAAAGAGTATCTAGGTACAAAAAATCAACAGCAAACGTCATACTTGAAGCTTTTCCGCTAAGATCAGGAACAAGGTAAGGATGTCCTGTCTCACCACTCCTTTTCAGCATCGTACTATAAGTCCTAACTAACGCAATAAACCAGGAAAAGGATATAAAAGGTGTACTGATTGGGAAGAAAAAAAGTAAAACTGCCCCTATCAATTACCAGTCTTTTTCTTTTTTTTTTTTTAAGCCTCTCACTCACCATAGGATAAAAGTATGATCCACTTTCCTAGTTTCACTGCCAGTTTTCTGTATTTACTTTAAACGTGGGTATGCATTTTAAAATACAGATTTCTGAATCCTACCACTAGAGATGATCCCAGAATCTGCCTTTTAGCAAGAACCCCAAAGTATTCCGGTGCAGGTAACCCCTGACCATGCATTGAGAAACACAGTACCTTGACACATGAGTGTAAACTGAGCTGAGAGCGAGGGCCTTGAAATTCTCCAAGAATCAAAATATTTTGTCCTAAACTTCCAAGTAAAGATGTAAAACTGGTTAATATAAAAACCACTGTCCAGTTTCTTACAAATCATTTTCCACTTCCTCCTGCAGAAACAGGTTGCTACAAAAAGCAGTCTTTCCTTTCAAAAGATGTGTTCCAATACTCAGGGGAATTGTTAACCAAGGGAGAAATTTTAAGATATGTAAATTCCAATTAACCTTTCTACTATTCTGTGGTCTAATGTAAGTTGAAAAGGAGACATTTCAAGCTTAATGAAGTTTGTTAAAGGTGGAGTAAATCATGTGCCCAAAGCTTATATTTAATGTCATTTATATTCCTCTGCTTTAAAATAAAATATAATCACTGAAGACAGAAAGGGAGGTAATTATGTAATTAAATGCAGTAGTTAATGCACTATTTTACATAATTTGGCCTAAACTTCTTAGACTACTGATCTCCAAACTGGCTTTCCTAGAGATATGAAAATCTCAGAACAAGATGTTAATATTAATTTTTTAAATAAACATGGAAATTAAACCAGGAAATTTAAACATGTTTCTCTCTCATAAAATCTCAGAAACTACAAACCACTGATCTAATCCTAGAGGAATGGAGGCATACAGTTTGAATTTGAAACTTATCAAGCAAAATGTTCACAGCATCTGAGCACATGACATTAAGGCTCTGTTATTTTTCAATTGAATGAATTTAAGATGAGAGCATTGAAGGAGAAAAGAAAAATTATTGTATTTGCGTTCAGTAGGATCAAGCTAATAATTAGTTAGGAAATGAGTACCAGCATATTGAGTTTGTATAGCTTTACTTCTTGAAAGACTAAACATTATGTTTTTTATATATACCTATATAATGAAACCAAAGTTCCATCTCTCAGCTTCTGCTTCTCATCAGCTTGCCAAGCTTCAATCCCCACCCCATACCAACCCTTCTCTGTTTCACAGGACCTTTTCTTCTAAACGAAGTGCTTGCTGAATGAGGAATGGAACTTTCCAATATCTTTTGTAAAGATAATTTTTTTCCATTATGCCTCAACCTGAAAAGCTTTCAGATCTGTAATAAGAAGAGAGAGAGAGCTCTATGGAGAATGCCTTTGGGTGCTGAAGTGCTGAAGTGCTACCTGGTTTTGAAGCAAGATTGCTGAAACCTGTAGTTTTTTTTAATTATTTTTTTTTATTTTTTATTTTTTTTTTTATTTTTTTATTTTTTTGAGACGGAGTTTCACTTTTGTTACCCAGGCTGGAGTGCAATGGTGCGATCTCGGCTCACAGCAACCTCCGCCTCCTGGGTTCAGGCAATTCTCCTGCCTCAGCCTCCTGAGTAGCTGGGATTACAGGCACACGCCACCATGCCCAGCTAATTTTTTTGTATTTTTAGTAGAGACGGGGTTTCACCATGTTGACTAGGATGGTCTCGATCTCTTGACCTTGTGATCCACCCGCCTCGGCCTCCCAAAGTGCTGGGATTACAAGCTTGAGCCACCGCGCCCGGCCTGTAGTTTTTTTTAATAGCTGATAGACTCAGTTGATGTTTCCCATTCATGGAAGATCCTGGTGCCAGAAGACTGGACTGTGTAATTGTGTTAGCTTCCTGCTTATTTGGTTAAAAAAGAAAAAATACTATTAAAATGATTGGCCATGAAGGATGGAACCTGTTAAAACAAAAACAAAAACAAAAACAAAAAACATACAATGACTCTTTGTGCTGATACGGAGAGAATGGTTTTCTCATTGCACTGATGATCTCCTGGATGGCTTCGTAACCAGTGAGGAAAGAGGTGAAGAAGCAAGGTAGGAAGAGCAGGTCGCAAAGTGAAGCCACAGAACCAGCAAGAATTCCCAGAAGTGGTAAAACCTGAGGTGTCTAATATACTCCTGTTTGCTATGCAAGGGAACCTCAAACCCCTTTCCCTGTGCCCTATAAGCAATCGATGCTGAGTTACACACAGCATCCAGGTAGCCAAGTTTGCTATGAGTAGAACCAAAAGAGACAGGTGCTGTAATTTGAATGTATCCCCCAAAATTCGTGTATTGGAAACAATCCCCAATGCAACAATGGTGAGCGGTAGGACTTTCAAGAAGTGATTGGGTCACAAGGGCTCTGTCCTAGTAAATGGATTAATGTTGTTATTGCAGGAGTGTGTTTGTTATTGCAAGAGTAGGTTTGTGTAAAAGTGAGTTTGGGCCATGTGCGGAGTGTTTCACATTTGTAGTCCCAACACTTTCGGAGGCCAAGGCAGGAGGATTGCTTCAGCCCAGGAGTTTGAGACCAGCCTGGGCAACACAGTGGGACCTTGTCTCTACAAAAAAAGTTGTGTTTTTTTTTTTTTTTTTTTAAATAAGCAGTGTGTGGTGGCACACGCCTGTGGTCCCAGCTACTCTGGAGGCTGAGATGGGAGGATGGCTTGAGCCCAGGATGTCAAGGCTGCAGTGACTCATGATCACCACTGCACTCCATCCTGGGATTTCTTGCTTAAAGAAAAAAAAAAAATGAGTTCAGCTCCCTCTTAATCACTCTCTTGCCCATGTGATGCCTTCCACTATAATATGACACAGCAAGAAGGCCTCACCAGGTGTGGCCCCTAGATTTTGGAGTTCCCAGCCTCCAGAACTGCAAACCAAATGAATTTCATTTATTTATAAATTATAGTCTCTGGCATTCTGTTACAGTCACAGACAAAGACACAGGGCAAGTGCCTGGTTGGGGTTCATGCCCGAGCAGAGGCAAAGGAAGAGTTGCAGACGTGCAATGTAGCAGAAGAGTCATCAGAAGCCAGAATCAGAGCTAGAGGTGATCATGAGGCTATTTGACTCTCCAGAAATTCAGAGTAAAGAACTGGAAAGAGGGCCCTGTACCTAGAAGGATTTGGGCAGTGGGAACTATACCAACCATCAAGGCTCTGTATCCATTTCGTCTTCTGCAATACCAACAGCCGACGAGCAGTATAATTCCCAGGATCACTGTCAGGACGCCAATCCCAGCGGCCCTGGTCCAAGAGATGGACAAATTCATTGTCATTGAAACATTGTTTCACATTATGATGAAACATAAATCAATCTGTCTTCATATGGGCTTTGACTGCCCAGAGCAGCATCTCCCAGGGTCCAAATAGTCTCCCACCTCTCACACTGGGCACTCTGCCAGACCTCCAGCACCTGGATCTAGGGCAGGTCTTATCTAGGAGCCTCTCAAGTGTATGCCCATGGGAGCGCTCCTAATTGGCATGACCCCAGCACCCAAGTTCCAGGTAACAGTAGCGCCATAGTAACTGGTCTTTATGTGGACAGTGTATTCATTGGGGCTAAGTTATCTTTTCTTCTCATCAGGCTGTTTTAAAACATTTTCTCCAGTTCAGCCCACAAAGAGAAAATAGAAATTAACACTGACTCATCTACTAAAAGCCAGGTGCTGTGCTAAACATTCATTAGCTCCTTCAGTTCTCACATCAACCCTGGAGGGTAGACACCATTTATCATTCCCTATTATCACAGAAGAGGAAATAAAGGCAGAGGATACATGACTCGCTGGTGATCATACAGAGCTAGCACGAAACAGAGCTTGAATTTGAACCTGAATCCATTTCGATTGTGTCTGTGCCTTCTCTTCCCCAAACTTCCCCCTTTGCCCCTTGCAGCCCTAGGAAGAAGTGTTTGGGCTGAGCCTGCAGCAAGGCTGTATCATTACTTATTGAGAAGGATCTTATCTAAGCAGCAGGGTGCCAATCTAGGGATCTACACCAGCCTCTTGGGCCCTGCGTTCAGTGACCCCTGGGAAGCATTACAGTTAGCACAAAGACCCTAGAAACAGGGCCTGGAGCTGTGCACTCCCGGCAAGCATCATCAGTTAGCTAACATCCATCAGCATTACAGCATGATCAAAATCGACAGAACTGAGTCTGTTATCTGTGGTTGTCAACTTGCTAAGAAAGTTTCTGCAGAGCTGAGTGACTTATAAAAGACTCAACAGCTAAGGAGAAGCAAGGTTTAACTAAGGCTTCTCCTGGAGAGACTTTTGCCCAGTATCCTCTATTGGACAACTTCCGTCTCAAGGCTAAGGAGACATCAAGCTTATCTTGTCCATCTCCAACCAGGATAGAGAGTGTCATGAGATGACAGCACTAGATGGGAACTCTGACCCGCTTATGTACATCAGTCTACCTACTTTATAGATCAGGAAGCTGAGACCTATCAATGTTACCATCACCATAGTGACTACCATTCATTGAGCACCAATTTGTGCCAGGCACTGGACTAGGCACCCCCACGTTGTGCTTTTATTTTATCCTAACAACAGTCCTCTGAAATAGGAATGATGTTCATTTTACAGCTGACGTTATGCTGGTCAAATGCCCAGGGTTGTACAACCAGGAAGCGGCGGAACCAGCCCTCATAGCAACTGGCACTGGAGACCAAGCAAGTGAGCACCAGAATTTGGGGTGGATCCAGGTCTCCCAGGCCAGCACTTTTCCTGCAGAGTCACTCTTTCCTGAACTGAAGCTGTCACAAGTTATATTCAGTGTGTTCTCATGACTGAAGGCAGCTGATTCAACTCCCAACATGCCTGTACTCTCATTTTACCCTGTGGCATCCACTTGAACATCCTGACACAGACAGAGCTCTGTTCCAGCCCTTTATGCACGGTCACATGGTACTCACAACATGCCCTAGTGACTGAGAGTGAAAAGCTCCAGGGTGTGCCAGACACATTAGAAGAACCCACTGCCCAGCTTGGCAGGCCTTCTCAGAGTGTCTTCCAAATACCATGTGCAGCAGAATCACCTGAGATGCACATTAAGGTGCAGATCATAGGGCTCCACCCCTGGCCTACCCAATCAGCCTCTTAGGTGGCAGCACCTAGGAATCTGCCTTTTAACAAGTTCCATGGATGACTTGTGTCCACTCAACTGTGAGAACCGCTCTCCCCTGAAGTTTCAAAGAGATACATAATACTCAGAGCAGGTATGTAGCACTTTTTGGCTGGATGTGTGAGCTTATTTTGCATCATTCTTCCTCATTCTATTTGCTGGCACAATTGTGAGAAGGATAAATATTCTCAAATCTTAGGGATGTATTGCTTTAATGAAGATGGCTCAATTGTGCACGGTCTGGATTTTATGCAAAAAAACTTTTTAAAAAAAGATGGCCTCATTCCCCTACCTCCATCCCACCTGCTTAAACAAACAGCAACAGGGGCCGAGACTTTTCTTGAGAGGAATGAGTTTTGCCATGGGTAGCCATGTGTAGCTACTTATTTTCTAGACCAATCTCCTTCAGTGCCTGCATGAGATCATGATGTTCCATGTATTCAGTGCTTCCTTCACTCACAGACTGAAGTTAAGTGTTTCACTGTGCTGGACGCTTTGGCCTTCTTGACCCTTCTACAGACAGAAAAATGTCAAAAGGAATTACTTTCTCCTTATAGAAGGACAGCTCCCACACATACAAGTTGAGAGGGTATTTTTCTTTTATGCTGGAACCCAGAGGCTCCCTCGTGTTCTCAAGGAAAATGTCAGATAATCCACCTGCCCTTGCTTATGCACGTGGTTCATGTTGCAAGTTTGGTTTCTTCCTGACTAGACCCCGAAAGTTACCTTGTTCAGGTTGTGGGTATATCTGGCTATGACGTTCCCCAGCTGGGCGCGATGGCCCCGCATGGCAAAGAACAACTCTGCTTTCAGCCTACTGAGCTGACAAGCTGCAGCCTCCAGCTTCACATCAAGAGATACTGACCTCTGCCCTAGCCTCTCATCAGATGGGAATGTGCAAATATTTGCCTCTGCCAGCCTGCAGCATAACACTTAAGAGCATGGACTCTGGAGGCAAACAGACCTGGATTTAAATCCCAGTGCCACCAAGTCTGGCCACACATTTCCTAATTTCTCCAAACCTTCCCCCATTTACAAAACATCAAGAATGATACCCACCAGAGTGAGTGCCACGGGACAGAGGGTGGGGCAGTAAGCAGAGGTGACGTGTGTCCCTTGAAAGGAATGGTCCTAGCCTCTCCTTCACCTCCCTCTTTCTGTTGGCAAGATGTGGAGGTGATGGCACAACATCTTCAGCCATGGGGACAAGGGCACCACCCCAGGAGAGTAACCAGCAAGAAGAAAACGAACAGGCCTTGAACTCTTTACTCTTGAATTATTACACAAGACATAAAAGCATATTTTAAAGAAGAATTTGTTGAGTGATCATACAGGAGCTGAAACAATACCCTAATTAATACCACGGGCAATGGGCTCCCCTCCCTCAAAGAGTATATTTTTGCTCTTGGGACATTTTCTTAGAAGATACAGCTGGCTTCATCTCCAATTGGCCAGGGATATTAGAGGATCCTATACTGGGGCCTTCGGAAGAAATGCTGTCTGCTCGAGTTCTTCCTCAGTGCCTTTGTCGGGCCCTACATCTTGCTGGCCCCTGCGGTTGACTGTTAGCAAGGATTGTTCAACGGTTCTTTCCAAAGAAAGAGTAGGTTTGCAGGGAGTTCTGCACAGACCACATAAGAAGATGGTGTCCTGTTGGAGTCCCATGCAGAGGGCGGGGCCTCTGCTGCTCCCCCTCCCCCCACACCCTTTCCCACTCCCAGCATGTACAGCATGTGTCCCTGCAGCTTCTGGGTTCCCATTATTGCACTTACATTTGCTGAAATTATTCTCATGCCTAACTCTCCCACTAGGTTTTGAGTTTTTTCAAAGATAAAAACAGTGTCTCAGGCCAGTATACAATGCTTATCATTTAGAAATGCTTAATCATATAAATACTTATTTTTAATTCATTCATAATATCCAACGCCTTTCCTTAGGATAAAGTTATGCTGCAAAGGCTGTGACCTCTGCCTTCCTCTCGAGTCTGGCTTCAGGCTGAGTCACACACACCTGCCCACCATCCTCACCGGCTCCTTGGCAACTCACTTTTATTCTGTCTGCAAACAACCTTCAGGAGCCTGAGTGGAGTAGACAGAACAAGGATTGAGGAAAGAGGCATTGTGATCCTGAACGGATGTTTTTCCATCTGGGAACCTATAGATAAGGCCCAAGAGTCAAAAGTGCAGCCCAAAATGGCAAGATCCAACCTTATACCATTCCCATCTTCCTGTCTGTTTGGCCTTAGAGAAGCTTGACTGAGCCCCTTGTAGAAGCACAGAGTCTCTTCCCCTTGTTGCCAGGGATGTTCCTGTCTGGGGCTGTCAACACTAGGGAGATTCATGAGCAGACATGTGCTGGTGGAAGTCAGCAGGCTGTGTCAGCAGACGGCAGACTGGAAGCCCTGCTGGGTCTGGTTTCAAACTTACTCTTCAGCTGTGATGTAAGAGTGGCCGTGCCCCTTCCTGGGGTAATCATAGATGAAGTGAGTGTCTTCTCTTGGCATCTTGTAGGTTCAGGGCACAGGACACCTAACAGAAGGAGCATGTGGGCATCATTAAGGCATCCAAAGCCACCCTATTCCTCATCTCATAAAGACCCACAACAGCATCCTAACTAGGTGACCAATATCCACAGCCAGGACACTTTGTCCTGTGATGGGATTTGCACCTGCTTCTTTCATTGATATCAAGGGCTTTAGCAACAGCTCAGCTTTCTAACCCCTCCTGCTAACTAAAAATTAAGCTCAAAGAAGAAACTACAGACAAAAGCAAAAAGACTTTCAAGTTGAGTTATTATTTGGTGAAAAACTGCTCCTCATTTGCCTTCGATTTGACTCTGCACCATAAACTTTTAGAGAAACAAATAAAAAGCATTTTTACTGATTCCCTACCTTCCCTGGCCCAGGGCTGTGGCTAAGAACTTAAGAGGGGTTATTTTTCTCCGAAGTTGTTAGATTTCAATCCCTGGACAGAGGCTATGATACACAACGTATGCTTCCCAGAGCGCCCATTGCCTGTGCCTCGCGAGGGTGCCTGAGGTTGAGCACTGAGCACAGCATCTTCCAGCACAGTTTTGCAGCAAAGGAAACCACCCCACACAAGGGCTTCAGCTCGTCCTAGGCACTCCACCCAAAACAAGCTGAGGAAGCCCAGGACCTGACTTTATATGACAGTGTGTTTCCCCTGCCACCTAAATCAATTTCTGCTTCTCTCTGGTTCAAGTCCCTTGGCTAGGATTTTTTTTTAACTATAACATATACAAATGAATAACAACAAAAGATGTCCATAAACTGCAGTGGCCATAAGTCAAGTATATTCATTAAAAGCCAAAAATGGAAGCTTCTCTCCTTGTTACTGTGTATTTGTCTGCCCTCTTACTGTTCTCATGAATTTTGAAGGCCTGATCCCCATAGAATTATATTAATGAGCTCCAGTTTAAAACAACAGGGAGAGGTGGGAGAGAAGAGTGGGGATTTCACCAAATGACCGCTTTCCACTGGGATATTTTATGTGTAATTTGCCCTTCCCAGTTGTAAAAACAAAATTAAAGTCAAACTCACCAGTCCTCTCAAGTGAATAATATAGGAGTGAACTCTGTGTTCAAAATGACAGAATGGACACTCAATTCTGCATTCAATTGTTTTCATACATCCTGTACCTCAAGCTCAGACCTTGGCAAATGGTGCAGCAACAGCAAATGCACCTCTTAACCACTCAGACCAGGAGAAGTGGTTCTTTAAGTGACAGGAGAACACATCTACCTCAGGGAGGCGGCTTCTCCCCAGCAAGTGCCATCCTGAATAATTGCTTTTCTTGTTGGCAGTCTTGGAGGACTGAGAGAGGACCCAGGAGGAGACTTTGTGAACCCTCTGAAGATGGAGACTGACAAACATTGAGGAGAAATTCTGTTGACGTCACACATCAGCAGGGCAATGAGGATAAGCAGAGGACGTTGCCAGAATTTCCCAAATCCTATTCCGGGAGAAGAGGACCATGATTATGGTGAGAAGGCAACACTCTTACCTTCCTTAATGAGAGTCCTCCGTCCGCTGGCTGGCCGTGTGTGAAGACCGCTTCTCTGGCTCTTAATCTTTTTTACTTATTTTTTTTTCTGGTCTTAAGTCTCATGATAGTCACGGGTTTAGATTTCTGACGGGGTCGTCTGTAATTGCTTAATTGGCATGAAAGAAACAACTTCATTCCTTCCTTCAAAAAGTCACCGCTAACTGTGGCCTCTGTTTTCCCCAGTCCCAATGCTCTCTCCAAGCGAAGTCATTTATTTTCAGTGTTGGTCCTTCCTCCATAAGATTGCCACATCACATAAAATATGGAATGCCCAGTTAAATTTGAACTTCGGATTAAACAATGAACAGTTTTTTAATACAACTATGTTCCATAGAATATTTTTAGTTAAATATATCCACATATTCTATGGGACATACATTTAAAAAGTTACGTTTTGTTTATCTGAAATCCACATTTGTTTTTCTCATGTCAGATGGGTAATGCGCCAATGTCATTGTAACAATGTTTGAGGGAGGCACATCTCACACATGAACGTGAAACCCCGATCATTACACTTATGAACTACCAAAGGATCTGAAATCCAAACTAAACTGGGTTCCCTATTCCCTCCCTCATCTCCATCTCAAAGGGTTGAAGAGTCTTTAGGCGTAGATCTGAAGATCATCTTGTCCCAGACTCTCAAGGAAATAGAAAATCCCTGAGACCTCCTCAGCCTAGCTCCATGAGTTCTCTGTGATACCCTTGGAGTTAACTGTCCACTGGAGATGGTGAGTTTCCATGCATCTGCAAGGGATAGACAAAATTTTCTCTTTGCAGGTAGAATATGACCTACTTAGACATCTATTAGGTTGGTGCAAAAGTAATTGCAGTTTCAGACACTGAATTTTTAAATCATTATAACTAGGCTCAAACACATCTTTATTAATCAAAATAGAAACAATTAAAATCAAGACTTTTTTTGCCAACGAGAAATAAGTTTGCTTACTCCTGTAGCATACAAATTCATGAAATTTTGTATTCATTTTCTGCATCTGGTTGTGGAAGTGTTTTCCCTGCAAAAAGTTGTTGAGATGCTTGAAGAAGTCGTAGTTGGTTGATAAGAGGTCATGGTGAATATAGTGGATGAGGCAAAAGTTTGTAGCACAATTCATTCAACTTTTGAAGCGTTGGTTGTGTGACATGTGGTCGGGTGTTGTCATGGAGAATTGGGCTTTTTCTGTTGACCAATGCTGGCTGCAGGGGTTGCACTTTTCAGTGCATCGCACTGATTTGCTGAGCATACTTCTTAGATGTAATGGTGTCACCAGGATTCAGAAAGCTGTAGTGGATCAGACTGGCAGCAGACCACCAAACAGTGACCGTGACATTTTTTTGGTGCAAGTTTGGCTGTGGGAAGTGCTTTGGAGCTGCTTTTTGGTCCAACCGATTGTCACATAAAATCGACTTTTCATTGCATATCACAAATCGATTGAGAAATGGTTTGTTGTTGTTGTGTAGAGTAAGAGAAGACAACACTTCAAAAAGACTATTTTTAAAATTTTCGCTTAGCTTGTGAAGCACTCACTAAGTGAACTTTTTCACCTTTCCAATTTGCTTCAAATGCCGACCAACTGTAGAATGATCATCCTTGAGTTCTTCCACAACTGCTCATAGTTAAAAGAGGCTCAGCTTTGACAATTGCTCTCAATTGGTCATTGTCAACTTCCAATGGCTGGTCACCACACTCCTCATCTTCAAGGCTCTTGTCTCCTTTGCAAAACTTCTTGAACCACAGCTGCACTGTACATTCATTAGCAGTTCCTGGGCAAAATGCATTGTTGATATCATAAATTGTCTCTGCTGCTTTACGACCCATCTCGAACTCGAATAAGAAAATTGCTTGAATTTGCTTTTTGTCTAACATCATTTCCATAGTCTAAAATAAACACAAAATAAATAGCAAGTATTAAGTCATTGGCAAAAAAACATAAAGTGAGAAATGCCCATCAAAATGATATATAACATAACCACATTTATTTAAGAATGGATTCTAGGTGAAATCCCATCTCTACCAAAAATACAAAAATTAGCCACGTGTGGTGGCAGGCTCCTGCAATCCCAGCTACTAGGGAGGCTGAGACACAGAATTGCTTGAACCAGGAGGTGGAGGTTGCAGTGAGCCAAGATCACGCCACTGCACTCCAGTCTGGGTGACAGAGGGAGACTCTGTCAAAAAAAAAAAAAAAAAAAGTGTTTTCTAATATCAGACAGCAAAGTCCCACAGTGCAAAAACCACAGTTACTTTTGTACTCACCTAATAATTGACCCCAGAGCTGATTATACTTAATATCATCATCTACCTTGGATAGCCCATAAGCATTTCAGTGGGACACGACAGTCACCTTTGCCCACCAGCTCTCCGTAGCCATTGTGAATAAACAAAACAAAGGAAAAAAACCCCACCAGAATTAAGGAATATGACAGTCCTAGCAGCTGAGGACTTAGATTAAATGACCACTAAGGTCCCCTTCCCCGTAACATCTGAGGACCCATTCCTTTCAGCTCCTATGACGTTCTGGTTTCCACTGTGAGCTATGGACAAAGGCTGTCCTGTGTGAGGGCAATACCAACCCACTGGATACTGGATAGTCACCACTGAAAATGGCAAGGGAGAAAGAAGACAAAGAAGGGTTGAAGTCTGTTAGACCAAAGACATATCTGTAAAGGAGGGAAAATTTAAACTGAGACCTAAATGGTAAGAAGAATTCAGCCATGAAAAGATGGAGAGAGAGCATTTCAGAAAGAGAAAACAACCAGTTGGAGACCTTGAGGCAGAACAATAGAGCATGACTTACGCTGGGTTCCCAGAACGGAGGCTAACTCAGGAAATTTTGTACAAAAATTGGGAAGGATATAAGCCCCTGGTGTCAGTAGATTGGGGAGAACAACTTCAACCTCAACTTTAGGGTTAAGCCTGAATATCCTAGAAAGTTGTAGTGGTGAGTACTAGTCTACAAAAAGGGGTGTAGTTCTGAGCTGAAAAGTCCACTGCACTGAGCTGGGTTCTACAGTAACCTGGCCCATGGATGGGTGGTGGCAAGTCCACAGAGGAGGGAGTACTGACCTGGATCTCAGGGCGAGGTGAAGTTCCCTGGTCTCACTCAAGTCCTCTGGTAATGTGACCTGATTCAGGGATTGAGTGTGCCCTGGCATTCTTCCAGGGTAGAGATGACAGGCAGCTGGCATCATCCCCTCCCCCGGAGGATGCTATAGGACCAGACTCAGCACATTGGGCACACAATGGCCAGTCTGGGAACATGCTCTCCAGCTTGTTTGGGTTTTTTTGTTTGTTTGTTTGTTTTTGTTTTGTTTTGGTGGTGGTGGTCGTGGGGAGGCAGTCTCATTCTATTGTCCTGGCGAGAGTGCCATGGTTTGATCATGGCTCACTGCAACCTCTGCCTCCTGGGTTCAAGTAATTCTGCCTCAACCTCCTGAGTAGCTGGGACCACAGGTGCGCACCACCATGCCCGGCTAATTTTTATATTTTTAGTAGAGATAGGATTTTGCTATGTTGGCCAGGATGGTCTCGAACTTCTGACCTCAAGTGATCCACCCACCTCGGCCTCCCAAAGTGCTGGGATTACAGGCATGAGCCACCACACTCGGCCCTTGTTTGCTTTTTGAATTCAATGAGGGAGTCCCAACCAGATCTTTCACAGGCATCTCTTTGGGTCTTTGAGTGGTCTGCAGCTTCTGAGGTTCCCAGTCCTTTCAGGGTTATGTGAGCAGGATAAGCTGGCTATCGCTTCTTCAGAGGGTTCCCTGGGCACGTGAACTTGAAAATCCTACCATATCCTGTTTCCTGGAAGCCTCCCAGAAGGTCCCTCTAACTAGGCATAGTCTCTGTTTTGAACTGGTCTCAGGCCTCAGAGTCCACGCCAAGAGCCAGCCCAAGCCAGACCCTACCTGCTTTTACCTTCAACACTTCCAAATGGCTTCCTTTTCTCTCCTGGCAATATAGCCTCAAGCTAACAGCAGGAGCTCCAAAGTTCAAATCACCTGCACTTCATCTCTTCAGTGTGTGTGACCATGGACAAATCACAAACCTCTGGAAAGCCCCAGTGCGTGCATCTGAAATGAAAGGGATAATAGTAGCATCCACTTCGTAGGTTCATGGTGAGTGTTAAAGGAGATCCTGTTGGAAGTACTTGGTGCAGGACCTGACACAGAATATGCCACACAACAATAGTGTGAACTTTTACTCTGAGGCAGCTCAGATCCAGCCCCTGCCCCGGCCCCCGTGCCAGCCCCAGGGTTAGGATTTGTACCAGCTAGACCTCGCCGGCCACTGACTGGCTCTCTGCTGCCACCTCGTGGGCTTGGTCACCTGGCACCGCAGACCCACCTCATGAAGGGGCTAAAGATGCCACTTTGGTCTTTGCAAAACTCTGCTGCTTACAGTGCTCAGGGGCCAGAATCCTCTTTACTTATCCTGCTTAGGAATTAGGCCCTCTTCAGTGCTCCCCACAATACTGTGGGCCTTTGCTCTGTCACATACCCCGCAGAGGCATTGCTATAAATGGGGGTTGATGCCCAGCTTCTCAGGTGTCCCCTTTCGGCCCAGGCTAGTCAGGCCTCCACTGTTCCCTTTTGGTAAGGCTGCAAGCCCCGGGCGTCAATAGCTTTGGGGAAAGCAACTTCTACCTGAACTTCAGGGTTATGCCTGAAAATCCCAGAAAGTCCTGTTGCCCTTTTGTAGGAGGAGCTAAACAAACAGAACTGGCTCTTCAGAAGACAGAGAAGGCAAGGCCACATCCCAGTCATCGCTGACTCCTCCCTCCCCACACCTCATGGGGCTTTGAATCCCAGCTCTCATTATTATCTGTGTGACCTTGAGCAGTTACTTAACCTCTCTGAGCTCCAGCATCCTCGTCTGCAACATGAGAATAGAGAATAATTACAGAATTGCTGCGAGAATTAAATGAGGTAACATATGTCAACTCATCTAGCACAGTGCCTGGCAAGTGTTCATTGAGAAAGGCTAGTGCTTGTGGGAACTTCCTGTGAATTTGCAAACAGCCCGGAGAGGGTACCCAGTCTTGGGGTGAGCCTGTGAGCTCATGGCCATGGCTAAGCATTAATTAGCTAACA